GAAGGATAACATAGTGTGGTAATAATATCAAACACAAAAATGCTAGTGAAAGATCTAGCTTAAGTTTAACATATTGAGAATAATCAAACTTTTGACAAATAATTTTTTATTATTTATGATTTCTCATATCAGATCCAATATGCAAACCAGTGGTGAAAGTCATAAAAAAAAGCTATGCCAAGTCATTCAAAACATATTTAAAAGAGCCTGCACTTCCAACTGACAGACGTAGCTGTGACGAAAACAAAAGGAGAAAATGAACCTTAGAATCCTATGCTAGTGAAATAGAAAATGGAATCCAATAGGCCAATGTACCTCCGCTATTGGGAACAGGCGAAGGCGGGTAAATGTCCAGATCTTCATCGTCAATAAATCCATCATCATAAGCATCGTCACTGTCGTATTCTGATGACTCCGACTCAGTTTCAGCAATATCCTCCCCAAAAGAATCCCTGAAAATGTTGTAAGAGAGATAAAAATAACCGTTAAAAATGAGGAAAACCCTACATAGAAAAATTTATCGGTAGAAAAGTAAGTACATACGATTCATAGTCATCTCTGGCATCTCTGTCATCATCCACAAAGTAACCAGAGAGATGGACACTCCGCTTGCCAATCACCGAGAAGTCTATCAAACCATCAACACCCTCAAATTCAAGATCCAACGGACATGATTCGTTCTTATTTGGTAACAAGGAACACAAAAAGATTGGACTCTTATATCCCATGGAGCACTGAACTATGCTCCTCTCCTTTGATTCACCAAGGCCTAAAGTCGCCTGATATATCAACACAGAGTTAACAAGCAAATTGACCATTATACCACACCCAATTCACGATGATTTCCAAAAATTATTAGAGTGCTCGCAACAACCAAAAGTTTTGAAAATTCACAATTTAAAAATAAATAAAAAATCAAAGTACCTGAGTAATGTGAAGCCTTCCTTTAAATTCATCGGATTGATAACCATATGGTTCGCCCGGTTTTACTTCAATTCCTATAGTTCAAATTCAACCCAAAAATTATACATATGTGATGCTGCATTCGATAGCTAAAGGAACAGAGTTTATGCAAGTAGAACTTAGTATCACGCATCCCCCATTCTATCCGAACCCCCAGATTCTACCTTTCAATTTTTTGCCTACGATTTCTCACAAGCCAAACAGGGACTAGAGTTACCCATATTATCAAAATTTTCAGTTTCTGAGAAATCGAAGAATTTCCATTTTATTTTCTTACGATTTCAAGAAATATTAAGAAACTCATAGAACATTAACATGCTAACATTAAAAACATGATGAGAATTCAATAATGAAACAAAATTAAAGAAGACTGACCCCAAAATCCCATTGCTACTGTATGGTTGGCTCACACAGCACAGCGATGTTCGGAACTTTGTGTAAAACCCTGGACAAGGGTTCTCGCTTCGGCTCTTAAAACCCTAATCCTCCCCTCGAGTTTAGGTCACTCACGGTAACACGGCCATTATATGCAACCGTGTTATGTAAGCGCACGTAGCGCCTCGTTATTAATGTTTCCCGGGCCGTTTGATGCCCCTTTGGCTCAGACACGTGTCATAAGGAGACTAGACGCGCGAAATGTTTATTTGAACGCTGACGCCGATCAGGTTAGATAAGTCAAGCGATATTGAAAGATGAGAGAATCGAAACTAAAAGCCCGGTTGCAAGGGAATTATTATTATTTTTGCAAACATTGAAAACCAATCTGATTTCTAAATCAATATTAGATTAGATTGGAGAAGTTATTTTAGACTTGTTAATTTTGACCCCCAAAAAAAAAAAAATTACTAAAAACTTTTGTCTCTTGCTTCTTTTTGTTGTCGGTTAGGGAGATTTTTACACACCAAAAAATAAAATAAAAATCGTGAGGTGTAAAATTTTGCAAGTGGGCCATGAAAGGAAGCAGTGTAATGAGTTGAAAAATGGGCCAGTTGGTCCAAAGGCTTTCTGAGTGGGCTCCCTCTGGGCCATTCATGGACTTTATTGTAAGTGGCCCATAAATAAAACAATTGTTTATCAAATGATCCAACAGAATTTTGAAGACATAATAATCCACTTTATGTTTTTTGTGTTAAAATGAAAATAAACGAGGCCGATAACGTAGAGTAAAAGGTATTCCACTTATTAAAAGTTTATTATTATTCCATACGGTTGGGTTCCACTAATGACATATGAAACACGTGTGCAAAATAATGAGTCAAAAATAATGCCAGTGGGAAAATTATTATGCGGATGATACGTCTCAATAGATATAATAATAATATGCATCTTTTCAATTTATTTTTTGGCCCAAAATATTCATGCAATGCAATGCAACACTTGAAAAGAAAAGCAGCCTGCTAGCCCAAGCCAAGCCAGACCAGGATTGAGATGATTGTTTGGTTTTTATATGGTTTGGTTCAATGGTTCAGATTCTGTGGCTGAAAATGGAAATTTCATATTTTTAATGATTTAATGGTCTATGGGTGGATGATGGATCCAATCCAAGCTTCAAATTCTATATTTTCCAAAACCTTTCTATTTTGGAAATTTGAAATAGACCCTAGATCTTAAAATTGTGTAAAGCTTTAGGTTGGACAGCACCATATGCTTTAGGTGAAAATGCTATTAGGGCTACTTTGTTGACTTTTCCACACATCCACCACATACCTGCTATCTGCAGTCATACTTGTATCTTTTCTCTCTCTTTTTTTTCTTCATCAACTTCTCTTCTTCTTTTTTTTAAATATCTTTGGGACATAAATTACTTGTTCTGCAATTCATTCTCCTTTTGTTGGAAAACATCAAATGTAAATTAAACCTAAAATAGCGAAACCTTATGGGTCACACTTGTAACCACTCCACCCAACTCCTAAGCATGATCATCGAATAGTTAACTTGGTTGGAGTATGATTTTGATGCAATTAAAACTAGCTTAATTACAAAATTAAAATAAAAAACACAAGGATTTTGGTTCCGGCATCGATGCTTATATATTAGTTTTACAAATTTCATAAGTTCGGATAACTAATAATTTTGTTACATATTACCATAACAAAAGATGATGATCAAACAAATTTCTATATGGGTCAATCGTTTGAAGATGTTGAAGATGAAAATTGAGGACGATTTTAAAATATTTATACAAATTATTAAGAAACGAGCAAATTCACAGTGGGGGTTAAGACCAATTGCAAAATATATTTGGCAGCTTCATGGGAAATTTAACCAAATCACTATTACTCATATCTACAGAGAGGCTAATATGGTTGCGGACTAGTTGGCATATAAAAAAAGAAAAGGAAAAATAAAAGACACAGTTATAACAACTCATGTGTTTGGTTTAATCATTTCCCTCGATAGAGTTTATTTTAATTTGTATGGTCTTAAGATTCATAGGAGATCTAACTTTTAATGTATTTGAGTTTAAAACAAAAACAAAAGCTGATGATTCTTTTAGCTAATCGAGCGGTAAATTTCAATCGCATTATTTAAATGGTTAATGTGGATATATAAAAATAAACATACAGAATACTGTGAGATTATGTTTATTATTGATACGATATGATTTTCAACTACCTTAAAGACAAGAGCTTATTGAAATCATGTACGACGTGTAGTCCACTGTATAAACAAAATTATAGTATGACATTTGATGAAAGGTAGAAGACAAAAAATATGACAAAATGAAGAAAAAAAACACATTAAACAACATATTTATTTATGTACTATTTGACAAAAATTCAAAACTATTATAAACTGCATGAAGGAGATTCGAACTCGGTGCAAGGAGACGAGCAAACTGTCTTGGTCAATTAACCTAATCTACATTTGCACCTATCGATTTGTATACAAGATATATATTATGCATCTGGTCTATAAAGATACTATATATACTATTTAGTACATGAATCTTCGTACAAATGGAAATGAGCTCATACTTCAAAATGAACTGGAGCAATCATAAACTACCTAGTTTGATTATACTTAAAAAAATCGTGCTTTTTAGAGCAACAAATTTATTATTTGAAGGTAGAAAAAAAAAAGAGAGGGAAATTTAAACTTATCTACAATCTGACATGTAAAACAAAAAATACAAACACTACTTTGTATTTGTGACACAATTAGGCAAACAACATCCTAATTATGTAGGACTTGCGTTTGATTATTTTGTTTTATGCTGATGAATATAAGAGAAATACGATTCAACACCAAGGATAAATACTTTATTTGAACCATTTCAATCTCATATTTATTGTATAATATTTGTCGTCGAAAAGGATAGATTGTTGAATTAGAAATGTGAAGATAAGTGTTGTGCCACTAAACTTGTAAGTTTCAATTAACAACGATATTTTAGAAGTTAAAAAAAAAAATCACATTAAAAAGTCAAGAGATTCTCCATTTCACTTTAAAAAAAACACAAATCAAAACGCATTAAATGTATGTGATAAAGATTTGCAGTCATACAAATTTTTGTAATTCCGCAAAAACGTTTTGTTCCATTTTTGTCAAACACCAAGAAGATGAATGCTATAACTACATTCCTCTTAAGCATTATACTTTCTTCTCTCCATTATAGAAGGTACGATGATTAGAACATTTTAGTTTCGAGATTGTTCAAGGATTATTTATGCAAAAAAAAATTCAAATTACAAATTGCATAATCATTTGATTAATAACGTGGTAATTAACATTTAAATAACTAAACGACTTTTAATTTGATTTATTTTTTATAGAGATAATCTTTAAACGATGACCTAAAAATAGACCACTCCGATTAACAGATGTGAGAAAGTTGAACAGAAGGTGAAAAATTAGGCAACAAAAAGTTGGAGGTGAAAATACTGAACACTGTTGACATTTGACAGACTTGAACAAAAATGATCATAGAGAGGAGGGATTGGAAAAAAAAAAACAAAAAAGGAAAAATTGTTGGTCAGAAGAATAAAATAGGAAAAAACTCATATTTTGATTATGTCGAATAAAATTCCTCTCTCTCTCTCTCTCTCTGTGGAGTATGCAGAGTCTGCACTATATGTATGTCTCCGTTACTCCCTCATTTCTGTTGTGTGTGTTCTGTGTTGAACGTGCAGTTCAGCAGTTGTGCAGGTGAGTTGCAGAGAATTTCACAAACCTCACATCACACCCTTCAGAACCCATTTCAAACTTCAAGCTCTCATATTTTTTCACTCACCAAGATCGCCATGGAACTCTGTTTCAATCCAAACCCAAAACCCATTTCACCTTCGCCCTCACTTTCCCGCTAAATGCCCCAAACCCACCACCATGATAGGCCAACCTCACCAACCCCACACTGCTTCAGTTTCACCCTCTTGCTTCTTTCACTGAAAACCCATCATTTCACTCTCTCTCACTCACTCACTCTCACTCTCCAATTTCCACTCTTTTGAGTCAATGGCCTCCACAAACTCAACCCCAACAGACCCATCTCTCTCCCAAGACGACATAGCCGCCAGGGCCCTCAACAAGCGCTACGACAGTCTGGTCACTGTTCGAACAAAGGCCATAAAGGGCAAAGGAGCTTGGTACTGGGCTCATTTGGAACCCATTCTCATTCGCAACCCCAACACCAACCTCCCCAAGGCTGTCAAGCTAAAGTGCTCGCTCTGCGACGCCGTTTTCTCCGCTTCAAACCCGTCCAGAACCGCCTCTGAGCATCTCAAACGGGGTACTTGTCCGAATTTCGCCTCTGTTTTGAGACCCAATTCATCGGTTTCACCGGTTCCGATATCTTCCTTGCCTTCTCCGTCTTCGCACAATCACAGAAAGCGAAGCTCTCAAATGGGTACTGTTGCTTGTCCTATTTCTCATGCTCCTCATCATACCAGTTCTACTTCGATACAGGTTCATTCTTTAGCTATGATCGAGTCTTCCCGCTATTGCGGTGAACATAATTACTCACAATCTCCAAACCCAGTTGGGATTGCTACTAGTACGGGGCCAAATCAGCAGCATGTGGGGTTATCGGGTGGGAAACATGATTTGGGTGCTTTGGCAATGCTAGAAAATAGTGTGAAGAAACTTAAGAGCCCCAAAACGTCTCCTGGTGCCACGCTTAGTAAGGAGCAGATTGATTCTGCACTTGAATTACTGTCTGAGTGGTTCTACGAGTCATGTGGGTCGGTTTCGTTTTCGAGCCTCGAGCATCCCAAGTTCAGGGCTTTCCTTAACCAGGTGGGCTTGCCTGCACTGTTACAGCGTGAGCTCTCGGGTGCTAGGCTTGATGCAAAGTTTGATGAGGTCAAAGCTGAGTCAGAAGCTAGGATCAGAGATGCAATGTTTTTTCAAGTTGCTTCTGATGGGTGGAAAAGCAAGAATCCTTGTGGGGAAGAAAACATGGTTAAGTTCATGGTTAATCTTCCCAATGGGATTAGTGTTTTCCAAAAGGCAGTGTTTACTGGTGGGTCAGTTTCGTCAAAATATGCAGAGGAGGTATTGTGGGACTCAGTTACTGGTATGTGTGGGAATGCTGTGCAGCGTTGCGCAGGGATAGTTGCAGACAAGTATAAGGCCAAGGCATTGAGGAACTTGGAGATTCAGAATCATTGGATGGTGAACGTATCCTGTCAGCTTCAGGGGTTCATTACTTTGATTAAGGATTTTAACAAAGAGCTTCCACTCTTCAGGGTTGTCACTGAAAACTGTTTAAAGGTAGCGAATTTTGTAAATAGCACCTCTGAGGTTAGGCATGCTTTTGAGAAGTACAAGATGCAGGAACTTGAGTATGCTGGGTTGCTCCAAGTTCCTTCACCCAAATGTGATACTTCAAAGAACTTTGCACCTGTTTATGCAATGCTGGAGGATATATTGAGCTGTGCCCGCATACTCCAAATGGTCGTCCTGGATGATTGCTATAAGGTTATATGTGTGGAAGATCCAATTGCCAAGGAAGTTGGAGGGATGATTCAAAGTGAAGGATTTTGGAATGAATTAGAGGCAGTTTATTCACTAGTTAAGCTAATCAGAGGGATGGCTCAGGAGATTGAGGCTGAGAGGCCATTAATTGGGCGATGCCTACCCCTTTGGGAAGAGTTGAGAACAAAAGTAAAGGATTGGTGTGCCAAGTTCAGCATTGCTGAAGGACCAATTGAGAAAGTAGTTGAAAAACGATTCAGAAAGAACTACCACCCAGCATGGTCAGCTGCATTTATACTTGACCCACAATACTTGATGAGGGACACTAGTGGAAAGTACCTTCCACCATTCAAGTTCTTGACGCATGAGCAGGAGAAAGATGTAGATAAGCTCATTACCAGGTTGGTTTCCAGGGAAGAAGCTCATGTTGCATTAATGGAGCTCATGAAATGGAGAACAGAAGGAATGGACCCGCTTTATGCTCAGGCTGTTCAGGTTAAACAGCGAGATCCTGTAACTGGAAAGATGAAAATGGCAAACCCGCAGAGCAGTAGACTTGTGTGGGAAACTTGTCTAAGTGAGTTAAAGACACTGGGGAGAGTTGCAGTGAGACTTATCTTCCTCCATGCAACCTCATGTGGATTTAAGTGCAATTGGTCTTTCATGAAATGGATGTGTGTACATAGGCACTCAAGGGTAGGCCTGGAAAGGGTACAGAAGATGATATTCATTGCAGCTCATGCCAAACTTGAAACAAGGGATCTCTCTAATGAGGAAGAAAAAGAAGCAGAGCTGTTTGCAACTGCAGACGTTGAGGATGACATGCTGACTGAGGTCTTTTCGGATGCACCCACAGTGTAATGTTTTTCTTTTTGACTCCTCTAGGATTCTGTAATTGTAGGATTTATTGAATTCTTTCCTCTTTCTTTTTTCGTCTTTTTATACTTCATGTCTAGTTAAAAAAATTTCAGCGATATTGCTGGGTGGGAAGGATAATGTGGAGGAATTTTGAACATTGTATTACTGGAACTGGCATATCTTCATGATTCTACTGAAATAGTCAATCTCTTGCCATAATATGATTGTGGGTTTCTTGGGTTTGTACTTTGTAAAGAAGAAGCCCTTTCATCTTTATAATCATAAAAGTGGTCCAGGAAAATGATTGAATATATGTTGTAACATCTTTGAAGAATATATGTTGTAACGTCTTTTAAGAGTGATTTGAGATATATATATCACTCTTTGTTTAATATGGTGTCCATCAAAATCCAAAACTTTCTTCATTATAATCATAAAAAAAGAAAATGGAAAGCTTTTTCCATTGTTAATATTAATTGTTGGTTGTTGTTCTCCTCCTTGTGTATGAGATGTTTCCCTTGTTGGCTTGATTGTAATTTTCTTTTGGTAAGAAGCTCGATTGTAAATTTGAATTAGTCCTCCTATTTAACACCTTCTATTTTATTGCTCCTAGTTTAGCTCCTAATCTAATATTTAGAGAATTAGATGAGTTTTCGGAAAAAAAATATTTGGCTGTATATGGACTAGGGTGCAAATTTACTTTTTCTCTTCTTGACAGTTTATGCATTAATGATGTCTATAGTGGTTTTAGTGTTAAAACAATGTTGCAGGATGCCCAACATGATTACATCAAAACAAATTGGACAGTGAAATGGACATATATACATGCTAGTTTGTCTGACTCAGAAGATGGGGGAAATGAAAGAAGTATATGAAAGTATAGTAGAAAATCGACGTGGGATGGGATCACCATTGTTGAAGTGATGCCTAGATGTTGCAGTAATAATGTGGATTAGAGTTACCATAATAAATAATGTTATGAATCTGTGAGAAATGAATGCCAAACCAATTTTTGGCCTTTTGATGGCTCATTACATCCAGCCCTTTCTGTTCCTCAATTTTTCGACTTTCAATGTTTGTTTTAGTTATTTTTCGTCACACAAGTTCAACTTAACAATGAGTACCCAAAGTCTAACATTGGTTGAAGTGCCCATCATTAAACTTTCATGTACAATTGTTAGTTTTCTCTGCTTTTAGGAAAAAGGAAGGCTTGTGTATGTGCTGAACTTGCAGTCAAATTCTGACTTAATTGGCCTTCCTGATGAGGTAGAGTTAAGTTTTCACAAAGAGATGCCAATTTTGGCTTCTATGCTAGATGCGTTTGAAGACAAGTGAAGTACCATGCTGAAAACTATATTATAAAGACAATTTGATACGTAGGAAGTTCCATTTCTGGTGTCCTAAGATCTCAGAATCAGATAAGTTTCACATATAGACAAGCACCCATATAAGATAGCAAGCCTGTGCTTAAGTTAATAACATAGAATTGGTTCTGATGAGCAAGATTAAGTATGTTGCTGTACAACCTGTCCAAATTAGCACTGCTGTGGCCTCAGTGTCTTGCCATGATTTAATCTCTTGTGCGTGACTGTTAAGAAAGTGGCAACGTGCATCTTCTAGTTGTTTTGATTTGACAATCCTAACATTTTTAGAAAAATATTCAGAGTCTGACTTCAGCTCAAATCTAGTGTTTTCAATCTTTTAACTGCTTAAGGTAGTCTGTTTGTGTTTTTCCCTTAACCCTGAAATGTATAACTATCGTATGCACTCAGGTTGTTTTCCGAATAATACTTATATACTAGAACTGTGGAACTATGTAGCAAAACTTAATGTTTGAGATGAGTGCCACCATACATGCCTGGTTTAGTATAGAACTTGTGTTTGCTTGAGAAAGATATTCCTAAAGGACACAAAAGTGGCATTTGTTTGAGATCTTTGACACTTCCTTTCTGCTGCAGAATGGGGTTGCTTGAACCGGTTGTGTGGATGGCAAACCAGGCTTGAGTCATCACATGGGTCAACCTTGTAAGAACATGAAAGCGAATCTTTGTAGCCAAAGACGCACTTCTCACGGATTAAACTAGGCATATCTGCTGGTATATCAGTTTCTGAAATTGAAGAGCCCACCATGAGAAGTGGGAATCCATCTCAGTGCTTTAGTTGTCATGGTCAACGAAAAGTAAGGTATAAGGGGCCTTATTTCCCATCATTTCTCTCTCTCTCTCTCTCTCTCTCTCTCTCTCTCTCTCTTGCTGTATGTCTGTGTGTCTCTATCTTTGTTTTTCTCTCTCTGTGTGCATTCATTGATATGTTTTGAATTTTGTACTCAGTTATTTCCCATCATCTTCGGTAACTTGTAGTTTAAACTTTTAAACATTCCAATTCTTAGTCTCCAACTGGGCCCTTACAAACTTCATTTCTCAACGTTGAAGATTTAAGTTTTGCACAGTTATCAGTTAGGCCTGCCATGATTGCTAAAAAGTCTTGAGCAAAATGGAAGCAAGGAGGGTTGTCGCCAAGAGGAGGTGCATAAGATGGCTGAAAGGGATATTGCAACGAACTTGAACTGAATTTGCATGTAAATCTCGGCTAGTAATGTTGACTACAAAAAATAGGTTGGTGGTTCTACTGGTGGTGATGTTATATTTTACATTATTATTTCACTTGTTACTTGTACACTTAATCCCCATCCCCTTTTAACAATGGCTCCACCAGGGCCCATATTTTATGAAAACAGCCAACTTTAAAAAACAAATCATATTTGAGTTTCTGCTGAAAGATTTACTCTAGCTGTTAACCTAATACAAGATCTTTCTTTCTGCAGGGAACTGATATGAGCTGTGTGTATATACACATGTATTTTATTAGTGGTTGAACTGGTGAGAAAGAGCCTAGCCTTGTCGTAATAGCTTGAAAGTGAGAGAACATGTACATTCTATTCTATTCACTATGTACATACATATACGCATTAATATATTTGTTTGCAGAATTCTGCAAAGTGGGTACAGGCAACCTGGTTCTTGGCTCTGGCAGGTGATACATTCAAATTTAATTACTCATGCTTTTCGTGAATTATAGGAAATAATGATACATGGGAGATATACAAAAACAGAAGTGTTCCAAGTTTTGGAGAAGTATTACACTTGATGATGCAGTTTCAAATTGTAAACTTAGTTGAGTTTTTTCAAAAAGTAGTTTGAATGAGCAGAAAAATGTGGAAAATACCAAGTTGGTATGTAAATGAAGCAGGGTTTTCACTTTATGGTTGAGTGTAGTTAGTGGAGGAGTAGTTTCTGCTAATTTTACCATTGATTTTGGTTTGCTACTCAATTTAGCGGATCCTGTCGGCAAGGCCAGGCAATACTGACTGCTCACCAACTAGAAGGGAAAGGGAAGCACTTTTTTCACTTGTATAGTATGGGATTCATTGTTCACTCCACTCATGTTTTTGTTAAAGGTAAAGTAGATAGAATGATTAGTATAGGACAACACTCTTTTCTACAAGAATCTTCACACTTTCAATGCTCCTCCATAATTAGCTTTCTTTATATCTCATCTCCCCTCTCTTTTTATCTTTCCACTTAATACCGCTCTTGATTGTTTTTGAATTTTTGAACCCCATATGATCCAATCCGTGTACGTGAGGTGAGTTGATATGAATTTTGGTAGGTATTTATTGATTGTGGCCCTTCTTTGCCTTGTATTTATTGTATTTTTGGTACCTTACTTTCATCAGGAAACAAGAAGAGTTTTCTTTCTTTGTTTGTGTTACATTTTGCTGTTGTTCATCAATAATTGAGAAAGCTCACACAGGAAAGTGAGAAACTTGGTCATCATAATATAATACTGATCATTGAATTTCGATTTGTGCAGAGATACAGATCATTTCTTAATCCAAGTAGTCTTTTTTGTAGTTGATAATTGAAAAATGTTGTGGGTTTTGCACATGGCTTGGTGAAAGTAAAAGGTTAAATTGGCCATTGATGGTGGGGTAGGGGAAGGATTATATGTACCAGCCTTGGTGTTTTCTTTATTTGGTATATAAATACAGTGTCTCCCTATGATTTCAACCACATGAACTTCAACCATATATATGATTTGTTATTATGACAATGATAGTACTCTAATCAATTTTGATTCACAAATTGTAGTATCTCTAACCACTGAGCCAGCAAGCACCTAAAAGTTGTGGTCCTTGAGTTTTGATTATAATGACTGAGCTATCCACTTTATCACAAGTCTAACCAATTGAATAGACTCTGACTAAAATTATGCTGCCCATATAATCCAATACTTAAAATTGACCTGAGGTGAAATTTATGGTCATGTAATTCATGACCTGCAAAGACATGTACCAGAAGATAAGAGAAATGCTAGGCTCTAACTTTGAGTGATTTATACATAGCACTTGAGCAATTGATGCTAGCATTACTCGGCTTGGATGTGCTTCAGAACGCAGTCCTAGACTTGTCTTGCTAGCTAGTCTCCTTGAATTGTATTACTATTTTTTTCACATGGTATTCTAGTTTGTTCGGGTGCATTTTGGCCCCTTTTCAAATGACTTTTTTAACAAAAGGCCTATCGATGTAGTTTTTTTCCTCCCAATCCGTGACTAAATTGGTAACTCATGAAAGCGGCCCCCATAGAGAATGAAAACTTTTTCTTGTCGTTTGGAAAACCAAAATATCAACAAAAATTTGTATCAAAGGCAAAACCTAAAATAACCCATTGATAAGCTTCGTCTCATGATATTTCTCTTTTCAATGATGGACAAAATCTCACTCAAATTCGAATCTCTCATCTCCCATGAATTAGAAAAAATAACTCGAACCAAAAAAAAAAAAATAATAATAATTCTATTCGGCTTGCCAATATTGTTTAAAATAAAATCATACTAAAACCACCGGTTCTGTATCTTATTAAGACGGATTTGTTTTTTGCCTTCCCAATAAATAGAACTGGATTGTGATTCATCCAGCCATAAAGTTAGAATAATCCATCTGACCAGCCTCACCCGTAAGAGTCATTATAATTCTTGTGATTCAGTAAATACCACCCAAACGAAGAAAACAAATTAGTGCAGCCATCAAATCTCCAATTATCTCATAAAATAGTCATGATTTATGATCATTACCAAAACCCCCTTTATACACTCTCCTCCAATATTCCTCCTCCAATTTTATGATTACATTTTTGTACGACTTTAAAGTTGGCCACCAAAAACGTATTATTGTACTTTATTTTTGGGCAGACAGGTTTTTCACATTGGTCCACGTTTAAAGCCAAGGCTTCTAAAATCAGTAGGTTGAATGATTATAACCGTTAGGTTTGCTTTTTTCTTTGTTTGTGGGCTAGGGAGGGGTAAGCATCCACATTGAGCACAACATTTGAATCCAAAACTATTAGGTTTTAACTAAGTAAGGTCTACAATCTAGACTAGTCATAGACGGTCCTATTGGTAAATGCCACCCGTTTTTCCAACACAATTTCATCCAATTAATTGACCAAGACATTCGATTAATTGCAGAGCTATTATTGAATGGCTGGATTGAATCCCTCAACACACCCGTCAACATTGCTCCATTCGCCTATACGACCAATATCCAATTTGGGCCTTTGGGTGCCCTAACCCTGACCCAGGCAAGTCCATAATATCCATTGGACCCCTGGGAGCCAAAGCTTTCTAATGGGCCATAATTTAAACAATTCATAACTCAAACACAATATCCTTGATCAATAGTAAAAACTTTTATTCAGACCAGACCTGTGTATATTGGGCTGCATTACTATTTCTTTACATAGATACATCATTTGCATGGTGTAAGCACACCATGCTCTGCATGTAAAAAAACAAATGCACTAAAACGGGATTGCATAACTATGTTCTATATAAAGACCCTAACCTGTTCGTGTCATTTTGAATTCAACAAAAAAGTATTGAGATCAGGATCGTATAAACAACAGGGTATATTTACTCGCCATTTACATGAGCACTAGCTGCCTCCAGTTGTCCATTGCGTATCTGATCACCAATGTCTCTGACGTGACCAGGACCATGGGGTATAAAAACAGTAGTGTTCTTTGAGTTGTTGCCAAGGTCTTTAATTGTGTCAAAGTACTGAGTGATCATGATCAGATCCATCACCTCCTTCGCTGAGGTTCCTTCCACCTTGCCTGAGAAATTCAAGATGTTCTCTCTTAACCCATCAGTGATTGCCTGCCTCTGCCTGGCAACACCAACTCCTCCAAGGTACTTGGCCTCAGCTTCAGCTTCTGCCCTTTTCACCTGAAGCACCTTCTCTGCCTCTCCTTTGTATACATTAGCAAGCTGGAGCCTTTGGGCTGCAGTACAGATGCTTGATTTTTCAGTAACAAACACAAGCATATAGGCTAGACTCCTTTGATTACCAGCCCTTAACAAATATAAAGACTGCAGCAATTCATTGACTTTTGGAAATAAGTGGAGATATATAACAAATAGGTAGAGTTTTTAAGATGACATTGAGTCGTGGTTTATAATGGTCCAAAGTTAAGAGAAGCAACGTTATATCTTTACATTTTTTATTCAATCAGATAATAAAACATAGTTTGGCCACTTGAACATATACAGAAGTATAATGAATCAAGCCCAAAGTTGATTTATAGCTTCGCATAACAACAGAAACTAAGCATTATGAGCTAGATGTCATCAAGAAAAACTTGTCAAGAACATATAAACTCCTGGATTGACAAAATAACTGTTAATAACAAATAGGAAAACAGAAGAGACATAACTGAGTAAACCATGGCACATAGGATAAAATCTAATTGTTTATCGCAAATGCAAGGGCCTAGTGGCTAGTTGCCGTTCCTTAACAGACTTCTTCAAGTAGAGTGAGAGATTTCTCAGTATTATGTGCAATCAGGAGTTAGTACTATTGTTGCTGTCATAGTTTTGTTTTTCTTTTGGGAAGTGAGGACGATTACTTTATAACAGTCATTCAAACCCTTGATTTCTCTAAAAGGTTATCTCGCCTATCTATAACACATTCCCAAAAGCTTGTTTACAAGACTTGGGGCTAATAAAAACTTTTTGTCCTACAATATAACGAGTCCCCAAATGTGTCTTCCTACTGCAGATACAAATTGAAACAACGTCCACATGTAAGATTACCAAAAAAAAAACACAAACAAACAAACAAACAAATTACCTGCATTAATCTCATTCATTGCCTTGCGCACAGAGGCATCCGGTATAATGTCAACCATCAGTATGTGCTCTATGCTGTATCCATATTCTCTCATAACCTGATCAGCAATTTCAGCATAAGATTTAATAAACCATATAGAATGAAAAAATTCGTAAGGAACTAAAGAATAGATCAACAAAATTTTGTCTGAAACAAACCTAACCTAATTCAAGAACAACTCATTGACCATTGCGATGATAAGATAGTAATAATCATACAGTAATCACTTCATCTCATAATGTCATATGTTATGATAAACCAATGCACAGGCCTGAGAAACCAATATATTTAAGAACCCTAAAAATACAAAATACATCCAAGAATCTGGTTACCTTCTCAAGTTCCTCCAAGACAGCTTTAGCAACCTCACCCTTCTGTTCAAAGAGGTCATCCAATGTCATTCTCGGCACCAGAGCTCTAACCACTACACAAAAAACAAGCCAACACACCATCCCTCCTCATCATATGTAACTATAAAAAAAATTAAAACTAATAAAACAAAATTGTTATTACGACTTACCATCAAAGACATAAGCTTGAATCTGCTCTTTGGGGTTTTGCAACTCATAAAAAGCATCATCAGCATTCTGTCTCACCACCCGGTATTGAATGGAACACACTAATTGCACAAACACGTTATCCTGCCAAATTGTACAAACATTCAAACACCAATAAAATACATATATATATATAATTACTCCAATTCTTGCATTTTCTTTATGAATTTGAAACAGACCTTGGTTTTGGTCTCGATGCGGACATCAAGAGAGGAAATCCTGG